CCCCCCCCCCCCCCCCCCCCCCCCCCCCCCCCCCCCCCCCCCCCCCCCCCCCCCCCCCCCCCCCCCCCCCCCCCCCCCCCCCCCCCCCCCCCCCCGCCCCCCCCCCCCCCCCCCCCCCCCCCCCCCCCCCCCCCCCCCCCCCCCCCCCCCCCCCCCCCCCCCCCCCCCCCCCCCCCCCGCGACCGGGCTTTGGAGATACGGAGAGAGGCAACTAGACTGCAAGACCGGAGGATCTCCTTCTAGTTTTGCTAGCATATCCATCTAGCCTCTTTCTCATGAGATGATAAGACATGTACCATTACACTTCTAGACTATCGTTCACACAAGAGTTCCACGCCCTTCCTCCCCAACGGAAGGGAGGGGGGTTAGTGAAGAAACAAGCTGTTTGCGTTGCGTTTCGCTCTTGGAGAAGCGATATAAGACGAGGAGAGACGAAGATATAACAGGCTCAAGGAGATGAAATGTTGATGGATAACGATGATAGATTGAGGTTCTTGTATATATTTTGCTCGAAGAATGAATCCCTTGATGCCTTACCCGATCCTCGTATCTGATTCATGTCTGAATCGTGTCTGAGACCATCCTTATTCGGAGACTTGTGCTTACTGGGAGGTATACAGCACTATGTGAGAAAGCGCCTCGTGGTGGGTGTTATGTCAATTGCGTCTGTCTCTTAGGTTCTAATAATCTACTAACTAGAGTTCGCTACAGGTTTCCTCCCATTGAATAAACACGAGACCGTCGGACTGCGGAGGAGTGATCTAGAATCTACCGTGGGCGGTTCCCTATTATACACTGTACGGTGCACCTTCCTAAGATTGTGCGGGAGGGAAGCGCGGCATCAAACAGAGTTAATTCCTGTCACCTGCAATATACAATTTTGCAGCGCAACTTAGGCGTGGGAAGCAGCAATATGAGCTCTTTTGTGAATGTCGTCTTCCATCAAGCATACGATAATCGGCTCAATGGTCTAGTGGTATGATTCTCGCTTTGGGTCTAGCTCTGATATGCGAGAGGCCCCGGGTTCGAATCCCGGTTGAGCCCCTTTTTTTGCTTCTTTTTGGCTTGTTTGCTTTTTTATTTTATCCCTCTTTCATTTGGGTGGGTTTTTTTTCTTCTTCCCTCTCTCATACAATAACGTGATACCATAAGTTACGCCTAATCGCCACTTCTTAAGTCATTGCCTTCTGTAGGCGCTATGTACTTAGATAGAGCAGCGATGATGGTCTGTGCTCCTTTTTCTTGCTGTCTATCCAGCCCCACTTTCCGGAATCGACTAGAACGAAGTCATCATCATTATCGCTTGAGCTTGAGCATAATGCGCAGCTGCGCATCAGTGGCACGGGGCTTAACAAATTCGATGCTTGACACGCGAAATGCTTTAAGATTTGCGCCACCCTCCCGCAACCAATCTAAGTCTACGTCCGTACTTGTCGCTAGACACATGCACTATATTCCCGTTGAGCGACATCATTAGTTTCCAACTTGGTTCGCGTGTTCGGATTGGCCAATTCACAACTCGGAAAGAGAATCTGTCTCGCTTGAATACCTTGCAGCATACGTAGAAAATGCCCTGCATACGTCGCCGACCCTGTCTCGGTGTTTAAGTGCCCGCATTAGCGGACCGCGGACGGGAACGTGGTTGTTTGTTAATGAAATGTACACCATCGGGAAGGGGGGAGAGTACGGTGTAGCGTATGTATGCGTAAATGTGTGGGTGCTACTTAGGAGAGCGATGACTCTATCTGGGTTGGAGTGGGTGAGTCATCGCAGTGAGTGCCACGTCTGGTGCGCGGACCCGTGGCGTTATTCGTGCCAGCTCGGTAGGGTGGTGCTGGATGAGGCTTACAAGTAGATGCTGAAGAATGACTCTAATATGCACTGCGGCTCTTCAGCTTAGAAATGTCGCTTGGAGATACTATGATCTACCTAGCTACTGTGTAAATGACAGGCTTCGGATAGCGGCTAGCTAACAAGCATGCGATGATTTAGAAGAGATGTAAATAGGTCTAAATCATGTCATTACATTGTGTGTAAACGATAGCGATGAAGATGCTTTGATTTGATGTTACGCTCTTATATATTAATTGGCATACAGAGCTTTACGTCGCGTCGACAGTCTCGTCGCTTCGTTGCTATATTACTATAGGCTCTCAGTGTTAGGGCGGCAATATGACTACATGCCAGCCTGCATGACAACCATCCGCCATTATATCTATTGTGGCGAATCTGACTCAAGTCTCCTGCCAGATTATCGCATGGGCGATACTTGTGATCTTGATTCGCCTACTAGTAGCTTCTATGAGCGCGCGTTCCGCCTATTGCTTCGCCACTGCTGCGCATCTTGTACGGCTCTCACGCGCACGGGTGCATCCTTTGGTTCAATAATCCCCTAATCATGATTGACTATACTCCAGTTCCGGGGAAAGCACCGGATTTGCTCAAAACAACAGTCCCGCGTTCGTGGGCGATGTATCCTTTCATAAGACTCTAGACTGTGGTGTTAGTAGGGCGTGTTATGTGACGGACTACGAATGCGGGGCCTCAAAAGTCCTGGTAGAAACACGAGGAACGGTATTAGGGTGGATGCTTAGTATGGAATACGACGTACCTTGTATATCATGTTAGCCATCAGGCATTCAACTTCGTCGGAGTCGATGGCCTCTCCACTGCTCATCTGCACGGCAGCCGTGAACTCAGTGATAGGGATTCTGGTCCTCCGCACAGGTGCCGCTCCATCCTTGGCTTCCTCAAATCCGCCAGCTATGAATACCTTGCGTAGTAAGTTACGTAATACGATGTCTCGCCCACGTTCTAGTGTCAAATAGACACGTCGTTTTATGAACTCGTCTTCACCGTCGCGTAGAGCGACATCAAATGCCCGCAGGTCAGATTTTTTGATAGCACGAGCTAGTGGCATGAATAGCTTCTGTAGGCGGGGGAATGGCTCGAGGAGCTGTCGGCTAGGCAGTGTATGTGTTGTCAATAGGCGGCAGGGAATAAGATAAGTGAGAATGAGTCTATGAAAGATTAGAACGTGTCTATTAGAGGGAAGCATGGGGGACGCATACTCGAGGTTTCGTTGCGCCTTTCTGTGGCACATCAGCCAGGCCATCTCGAGATGTTTTTCGGCCTTAGCGTTCGTTAGTTGCTGCCAATATAGGATTTGATATTTCCTAGGTCACATACCTCGACATAGTTCTCTTCCAAAAATGCTAGAACGCCTTCATAATACTTGAAGGTGACCTGCTGTGACTTAGGGAACTTGTCGATTGGAGGGATATCGGCTCGACCAGCTGATATCGCCCTCAAGATATTCTTTGAGAGCGGTTCTGAGTTTAGCTTAAAATAAGTCTTAAATAGGAGATTGACAGCGTAATAGACACCCCATTTTCGTGATTCTTCCAAAGGCGCTCTACTTCGTGTCAGCAGAGTCCCTAGATGACTTCGGGTCACTAAGAGGGATTACCTATCCGAGGCGCAGACCTGGAATATCCTGTTTAAATGCCTTGCGCAATCTTCAAGGCTCTTATGCTCCTCCGCCTGTGGATCAAAATCATCTTTCAGATCGTCCATATCCATATTATCACTACTGAGGCCCCTCTCTGCATCAGCTCGCATTGCAAAGAGTCTCAAGTACTTTCCGGTGACATAAAGACATGGAATAGTCCAATTCTCAAAGTCATGATTTGTATACCCTCGGATAGTGAGTAATGTGACATCTTTCCATGCATCGTACACTTTGGCCCAGGAAGACTGAGAGCTCAATCAGCACAAAGCCCTCTGGTTGAACATGGCACAAGGGAAATAAACCCCAGAAGTAATGAGTCTAATTAGGGAAATTGGCATGATACGTAGGGGGAGCTTACCTGGGAGCCACCTAGCAAGCCCTCAGCGGCTAATATCTCCCCTATGGCTTTCCAATAGGCAGTGTAAATGGCCACCCAACCGCTCGTTTCTTCCTTGGATAGCCTCACGCTGAAACGAGACTGGTCTTGATAAAAAAGGAAGTTGAGGTCAGATGTCATCGACCGGAGGTCACCACGGCCCCATATCGCTCGTAGCTTCGCTGAATGTGCTTGGATGTCGGGATTCAGAGTCTCGGCCAGCTGCTCACCGTTCGTAGCAGCATATGCCACTCGAAATTGACGAATCAGGCCGTCCATGGCTGAATCGGATGGGTAGGACTGTTAGCCGCGATTGACTCGTCAGGTTACTTCGAAGTGAGGCTGTCGATACAAATAAGATATGTGATCCACGAGAGTGTTTATTATTTGGTCATCTTTCTTGAGGTTTCAAGAAGTCATACTGTAGAAGCAACCTCACTACCTAAGCTCGTGCCCTCCTTGAAGTGATCGATTCTGATTGGCTTAACCCAGGCAGCTACAAGTTACAACCTTCGTTGTAGCTACCCCACCATTCGAACAATAGCGACCCCAACTAGCCACATAAGCCACGATTGGCGCCACAGATAGTGGTCCAGTTTTCCAGCACGGCCACACAAACCTGCCTTATCAACTGCTAGGGCGGGAAACCCTTAGCACAGAATTTCGCAAAAAGTTCTCGTAGCCGAAGACGTGCCCCAAAGTAGCCTCCACTACACGCACCCGCGAGCTTCTGCCCTTCATACTAACCTCCAAGACAACAGGACCGGATTCAAGTCACAGTAGGTTACCATATTTGCAGTGTGCATTTACTCAGTTACTGACGGCGATTAATTCTAGATGGGTAAGAAATTTTCTTTTCATCCGATCATGCAATTGCAGCCGACCGCCCGGAATTCAACATCGACGAGGACTATACCGACGGCAACTCTACGAAGAATCTTCGATAAACCTTGGCAGCACTATAGCGATACGATTTTTAAGGCAGTACTCGAAAGACCACATGGATGCCGGATGAAAGTTGGAGGAAGCTGAAGGATGGGAACGAGGCAGGGAATAACTTGACGACTGCATGAGGTGGAATCTTCGGCACTGTTGGTCAATGGCTCGACTGCAATTCTCTCGCATGCACACTGAATTACGCCGCTAAATTCTCTGCCACGACAATTATATCGCCTCTTCAGCCGCCGATCTATCACTTCCATCGTCCGGGCTATCTGCTGCATTTCTTCGCACAATAATCAATCAATCAATCACCAACTAACTCGATGCTGTTAGGTCGCCTTCAGGAATACCAGGTCATCGGGCGCCATCTGCCCACCGAGGCCAACCCCACCCCGAAGCTCTACCGCATGCGCATCTTCGCCCCCAATGAGGTTGTCGCCAAGTCCCGCTTCTGGTACTTCTTGATGAAGCTGAAGAAGGTCAAGAAGGCCAACGGTGAGATTGTTAGCTTGAACAAGGTATGTGCCGGTAGTCGATAAGATCGAGCCTACAGGAAATAAATTTGGAGGCTGATGCGTTCGTGACAGATCAACGAGAAGAACCCTCTGCGCGTCAAGAACTTCGGTATTTGGATCCGATACGACTCCCGCTCTGGAACGCACAACATGTACAAGGAGTACCGTGAGCTCTCCAGAACAGATGCCGTTGAGGCCCTCTACTCCGACATGGCTGCCCGCCACCGTGCCCGTTTCAGGTCGATCCACGTACGACCTCCTACTACCTAACACGATGTTCGGGAAACCAGTTTTGGCTAACAAGAAGCTTAGATTCTCCGCGTCGTCGAGGTCGAGAAGACCGAGGACATCAAGCGCCCTTACATCAAGCAACTCGTCACCAAGGGTCTCTCTTTCCCTCTCCCCCACCGTGTTCCCCGTATCAGCAACAAGAAGGTCTTCAGCGCCACCCGTCCTTCCACATTCGCATAAATTGGGGGTTTCTCGTGTTATGTGTGTGGTGGGTGGTTTATGGGAAATGGTCTTTGCCCGGTGTTCACTACGGAATTGCGGAAAATTTTTCATGACGATCAATTCAGCATGAGAGCTCTTAAAGAGGATAGAGCCCAAATCAATGAATGAAACGCAAAAAAAACCTACAACACGAATCGTCTCAGGCATCTGCGTGAATGATAGGAACGTGTTGGGTGAATGCTTTACC